TCTGCACCCTTACTTGTGAAATTAAAGTAGGATGTTGTGAAGTAGGCTCTTTGTCAATGGTTCCTCCAAGAATGGGCTATAGGGAGCGTTCCCTCTCTGCTCTGCAGTGGATTTTTGGCCAGAAGCTCTCCCACAGTTGTGTAAAAGCATGCACTTCTCGTGGAGAGTCCAGGATGTTGTGGTGGCGGCTTAAGGTGTTTGGCCCGCTGGGTTCTTGCCTCTTATCGCCGCCATCTACAACTGTTGTGTGCCCCCACCGGCACAAGAGGGAGGGGGGTGTTGGGCCTTAGACAGGCTGTTTAATTGTGGGGTGAAGGAGCGGCCGTCTACCACACCTCGCACTATACTGTAGACCTCAGCAAGAAGTAGTTTTTTTGCACAGAAAACCCGTCTGCTGGGACTCAGTCAGACTACTGGTACTGTCCAGGCAAATTGATTAGGCAGGTTTGTAGTCGAAACTTTGGCTTAAGTCCCATGTCATTTAATTAGTTTTAGGTTTCCATGCACATCTGCCTCAGTTGGTTGTCAGGCCCCACCCCCTCCAGGATCTATCTTTAATACATGAGCATTAAGTTGGCAATCAACAGCACACAAAGCTATTTTTTTTAAGTCAATTTATTAGGCGACAATATTTAAATGTCATCAGAAGGGTATCCTCCTGATAATTAAAACTAATGACTTAAAAAAAAAAAAAAAAAGGAATAATCTAACAGAGCATGCATGCTTAATGTAGTCACAGATACTGTGACTCCAAATGTATGCTGTTTCCAGGACATCAATCACTTTCTAGATCAATTGGGTTATAATCTGGATCATCTTCGTCATCCAGTTCTAAATCGTCCAAATCTTGGAATAAGGACTCATCAACTTCAACACTGTTGCCAGCTGCAATATGAAAAGAAAGACATCAGCATGCTATTTCAATCAACAATTTACATATTAAACCCAAAAATGCATAAAACCGTCTTTCTTAGCACAAAAACTACAGTAGATGCATTTGCTAATTTGAAAATAACTAAAAATAAATCATGAGGCCTGCATTTGCCCATTGTAAGATTTTTTTTTCTAGTTAAAGGAACACTCCAAGCACCATAAACACTATAGCTCACTGTAATACAGTTCAATGAGTGTAGCCCTGCACTGCCCTGTTTGATCTATAGAGCAATCTGGCTTCTCCTGTTGTGGAACTAATGAAGAAAGATACCATAAGATTTCTATAGAGCAGGTGTGTCCAAAGGGCAGATCCTCGTACACCTCCCACAATGCTTTGCCAGGTGTGGATGTAACAATTTCCCAACTTGCAGGGTTATATTTATGTGAAGTGCTTGTGTGTTAATGTAAGCATATTTTAGTATGGGGACTGTATGTGTGAATGTTTTTGTGCATAGTATTGGTGTTTGAATGCAGGGGTGTATTCGTGCATAGAATTGGTGTTTGAATGCAGGGGTGTATTCGTGCATGGTATTGGTGTTTGAATGCAGGGGTGTGATTGTGTGTAGTGATAGTATTTGCATGCGAGGGTGTATTTGTCTATATTGGTGTTTGCATGAAGGTGCATATTCACATTAACCCCTTAAGGACAAAGCTAATTTACAAGTTCTGATCAAAACAAATCCTGGAATTTTAGCTATTTGTCTGTTCATTCATAATTTACCTCTTTCATATTAAGTGCACCCACACTTATTATATATCATTTTGTTCAGGAAATATAGGACTTTCATTTCACATCAAATCTTTATACATAAAATATAATTTAATATGAATAAAATTAAAATAAAAAAGAATTAAGAAATTTTGATATTTTCTTAAACATGAATGTCATAATACTGTTCGCTTTTACTGCAATAGAACACACATATTTGTGTTCAGCGATGTCTCACGAATATAACTATAACCTTCTACAGGTTTTATACATTGAAATTTGCCAGATTGGTTTGTTGGGCCTATGTTGCCTTTGAGATCGTATGGCAGCCCAGGAATGAAAATTATCAAAATCCTAGCATACCATTTGCAAATGTAGAGAACCCAGGGTATTCAAAATGGGGTATGTCCAGTCTTTTTTAGTAGCCACTTAATCACAAACACTGGCCAAAGTTAGCGTTCAGATTTGTTTTTTTACATTTTTCACAAGTAAACTGCCCTTGTACGGATGATATCCGTATTATAAAATATTTCTGCTCTAGAAAAAAGAAAAAAAAAAAACACACACACAAAAAAAACACAACTATATTTGTGTAGAGTAATGTCTCACAAGTACAACAGTACCCCCATATACAGGTTTTATGGTGTTTTGGAAAGTTACAGTTTCAAATTAAAAACTGCAAATTGAAATTTCACAGATTGGTTATGTTGCCTTTGAGACTTTATTGCAGCCCAGAAATTAAAATTAAACCCACTATGGCATACTATTTGAAAAATTAGACAACCCAGGGCACTGTGTCCAGTCTTATTTAGTAGCCATTTAGTCACAAACGCTGTCTACTGTATACAAGAGCTTTGAAACAACTCAGGAAGAAGAGCAAAGCCAGTGAACCACTCATGGACAGCTGTTTTGTTGTTAATACAACTCATCAGCATGAGGTTGGTTACTGGCGTACAATGGAGGCATGGCGTTACTTGTAAAGAACATACCAACAGAATTTAAAGTGGCTGTATACAGCAGACACATACTCCAAGAAATCCATGTATAGAATAATTAGGAGGCAAAAATATGGTTCTTTGTTGAGCTCATTTGCATATGCCTACCTGGAATCCCTTGCAGTAGTGAGCACTGTTAAAGTGAGATACATACATACATACATATATATATATATATATATATATATACACACACACACACACACATTATATATATATATATATATATATATATATATATATATATATATATATATAAATAAACAAAAGTACTTATAGATACAGTTAAAACGATAAAGGCTTTATTTAGAAATACACAAAAACACCTTAATACTTAGATCCCAATAACCCGCGTAAACAAAGTATAAGTGAATCAACACCAAAGCAAAAACAAAATAAGTGTTATGTTAATGTGCAAAAACTTAAAATTACAATTAAAAACTGATTTTAATTGTAGAGTTATTAGATGCAATAACAATTACAGATTGTTGAATGTAATACAGCTATATATTTTTAAGATTATACACTGGAGGAAATCTTTTATGTAAGTTAAAGTAAAACAATATACATTCTAGCAGTTAATATACTGTAGTTTAAAGTCTAACATACATCACCAAGTCAGTATATTGTAGCAATATGCTACAAATGTAAGCTGAATCTTGAAATGTATAATAGACAAAGAGAGGCTAATTAAACTATAAAAGCTCCGAGATAAATGGTAAATTTGAAATAGAGATACATTCTAAGATATATTACTATAGATAATTTAAGTTACATTAAAGATATATTTAAGGTAAGATACATTACAGATATATTTAACCAACAGGTAGCATAAAACACCTAGGGCGTAAGCACTGCAGCTAAATCTAAGGTAATTTAATGATCAGAGTTTCTCACTAACTGGAAGGCTAGTAGTATTCACAGTATTAAAGGGACACTATAGTCACCAGAACAACTACAGCTTTTTGTATTTGTTCTGGTGAGTAGAATCATTCCCTTCAGGCTTTTTGCAGTAAACACTGTCTTTTCAGATAATATGCAGTGTTTACATTATAGCCTAGGGAGAACTCTACTGACCACTCCTCAGATGGCTACTAGAGGTGCTTCCTGGGGCAGTGCTGCCACTGAGTGACTTCACCCTCTGCATGGAGACACTAAACTTTCCTCAAAGAGATGCCTTGAGTCAATAGATCTCTATGCGGAGATGCTGAATGGCCAGGGCTGTGTTTGACTTGTGTTGGCTCTGCCTCTGATCTGCCTCCGTGACAGTCTAAGCCAATCCTATGGGAAAGTATTGTGATTGGCTCATAGAATCACTTCTGATGATGTCAAGCATGTAGGCAGGTGACAGACAGCAACTGTAGACTTGAATACAAGTAAGATTTTACTATAGTCAGGGATGCAAGGGTGGGGGGCTAGATGGTGGTTTTAACACTATAGGGTCAGGAATACATGTTTCTGTACTGTAAGGTATATGTCACAGGCCTTGGCTAATACAGAATAGTTCTGTGAAAGTAAAAATAAATATATTTTTTATATACTCTAAGAATACAACTATTTATAAGAAAAACAAGGCCTACCCTAATAATTATCCTAAAATGTTAAGAAAGTTCATATACCTACTGGGGTAAGTAATTAGTAACATTGTAGCGGGAGGGAGGAAGGAGTATTTAGAGATAGAACTCATCTTAGTTCAACCCAGGGAAATTTAAAAGATATTCTCTAAACCTTTTTTTTGTATTTTTTGTTAATAGTTGTGTTTGCATGAAAGTGCATGTTCACATTAATACACACATTGCTTCGCACAAATACAAATGAACATTACCACACACCAAGAGAAACACACACAAAGGCACAAATGCACAGATATACTGACACACACACAGGCACAACCACCTCTGTATACTATTTAAAATTTCACTTTACACTGCTAATAAGTAAGGGGGTACATAAAAGGACAGTGACTGGTTATGCTGGCGTCCGGATTGCCCGTGTAAGTTGTTCCTTTTGTCAAATTTTTTGAAGAGACATCTTGTACAGAAGAAGAAAAGTTACTCTCCCTACTTAGTTTTATATCAAATCACTTGATAGTATTGGGATTTTAACAAAATTCCAAGCTAGCTCATTGTGTATTTAGTATCCTTATAGAAAAACTTGAAATAACAGAAAAAAATACCTGTTAGGAGAAAACCAGAATTAAGGATGTGACACTTCATAACGAACAGAGTTTAACTTCAATTAAATGAAACATCTTAGCCCAAAAATCACAAGTTGAACGGTTATATTACCTTCTTCTAGGAAATCAATGTCAGATGTGTCGAGATTATGATCTGTTTCAAATAGCTGCTTCCCTGTGCAAACAAAAATATATACATATATATTTACAAACTATCAAATTATCACATGGAGTAGTAACATACATTATAAGAAAAATAAAAGTTGCTAATGGTAGGGAAGTTAAAGACTCACTGCTCAAACAATTATGCAGGGAACTAATATTGGGTGAAATCTAGACTGTAAGCTCGTTTGAACATGGTCCTGTTAACCTATTGTTCCTGTAAGTTTTTGTAATGGTCTCATTTATTGTTAAATCTCCCCCCTTTGATAACATTGTAAAGCGCTATGGAATATGCTGGCGCTATATAAATAGCAATAATAATAATTCTGGTAGTATGGGATTCTAGTGGATGTCAGCTTATGTTCTCAGACTATCACTAGCTGCTATACAGACTAATGCATCAGAAATATACGTTCTTTCCCACTTCCAAGTTTTTCCCTTCCTTCCCCCTACCCTTATTATACTGTTATTACAACTTGTACAAATTTGCAAAAATGTTAAAATAAAAACTATTTGAAAAGAAATTTATGTTCTTTTACAAAGTTGTAGGTTAGTTATCATCCGTTACCATGCATGGTACATATGCACCTGCATACCAGAATTGGGCCCATACGCATAGGTCATGGCAGTAACGACCCCTATTGGTAAGTATTTTACCTGTTTTCAGGATAATCTATTGGCTAGACTCTTAACTGGACAAATTTAAAGCCATAGTTGATAGTTATCTAAATTGTTGTTCAGGTCTTACGATCACTGTAAAATTCAGCCATGGCTTTTAGGTAACAATATGGTGTCAACCTCAGAGTATTCATCAATATTCACAATTCAAGCAAATATATTGCAAATATTACAGCAATTTCAAACGAGCTCTGCAATACAACAAAAATTGACTCTTACCAGTTAATTTATTTTTCCCTGATTGCTCTTCCTCCTTCTGTCTTTTCCTCCTAATTTCTGCTAAATCTGCTTCAAATTTGGCTTTCCAGCTGAGAAAGTTTTCAATTGTTACAGGAGTCCCATGAAAACGTGTCTGAAAAGAACAGTTATTAAAATATATATGCATTATACACCCATTACCACCCCATCTACTACAATTCCCTTTCTGAATTTCTGAACTTTCAACAACAGAATCAGCACCAAAACCTAAATTGGCAAAGTACGCTTATTAATTTTTTAGTAAATATGTGAGTAAAGTTATAATGCCTCTCAATCTATTATATAGGATAACATTGCAGGTTCCATTCTCAGAATTGTGAACACATGCTTGAGTTAATGCAATTCTTAAATGGGGTTGGATTAACTGCAGCCTAAGAAAGAAAACACAAAAAACAAGCAAACTCAGAAATGGATAGAAGTTATGAGTCTTATTTTATGCTACACGCACACAGACAATAGCACAATAACAACTGCATGTTACTAGATTTTTCACTAGAGAAACCTTTGTAGCAGAACACTATCACACTACACTAAGACGAAAGAAATATAAAACACTGTATTTAAAACACATTTCTAAATGCATGCAAAATTTCCTCCTTGACCAAGATCCAAGCAAACCTGCTCTACAACTGCACATTTTCTAAACCCCTTCCACAGATTGTGGTACATATAAGGGGGCTGTGGAGGGAGCACCCTACTTCTCCAGGGCCTTGTAGCATCAAAAGATCTTTCAAAAAGTAAATAAATAGAGCATATAGTCAGTTCTTGGCATTCAATGAATGAATAAAGTGCTGACGTGTTACCATAGTAACCACACTCCAATATAATCTAAATTAATACTATTAGCGTGGAAATTAAAACTTCCACATTAACAATAGGCAAAAAGTAAGTGGGTTGCAGGTTCCTTGTGGAGCCTTGTTTAAACTGCTTTGACCCAGGGACAACACCCACTGCCTAATAGCACCATAAATGCTACATTGGCATGTAATGGCTATCATCTAGCATGTAATCTTTGACCAAGAGAACACTTTCTTATGTAGAAATGTTATTGAAAATGGTTTAAAGAAACAAAGAGGAAGGGTTACTGGATGCTTACCTATAAAATTACACATTGCCTTATCTTCTAATTTAAGAAAATAGATGCTTACCATCACAAGAAAAGTGCTTGGATTTTAAGTCCTGTATTAAAATGAGTAATACAAGTTTTGATGAAAAATGCATCTTGGCTTACAGTGATTTTGGAAAAAGAACGGAGTAATTTTATTGAGTAATAACAGCAAATTCTATTAATATGTGAAAATTATATTGGAATTTCTGGAAAATATTAGACTTGACTATAGGTAGTGTATGACCATAATAAAGCGATACCGCATCAATACCTTTTCTGCTTCTTCTGCCTCTTTTTCCTTTTGTACTTTCTCTTCTTCTATTCTCGTTTTTATTTGGTCTACTATTTCATTTAGCTTTTCTTGAACGGCAGATACTAAAGTGAAGATCATTACCATTCCAAGGTTTTCCTGCGCCTGCAAATTGAGAACAAAATACATGCAGTGGTAGCTTTAACCAACATTGATGCAACACAAAACATTAACCTGTTAAAAACGGAACTTCATTGTCTTCCAATCAGAACAGAGCAAGTGCTATATATACTCCTTCACATTCAATTTTCATTCTACACTATAAAAGCAGTTCCAAAACCAGCCCTCACAACACACCAACAGCCCAGGCCTTTTTAGTGGAAATGGGAAAGTCGTAAATTCTGGTATGTTAGTGGGCCATGAGACACGCAAAGGCGGTGTTTGCATGAAAATGCCTGCATATAATGATTATACTCACTAGAACAGATACATTAAGCTGAAGTTGTTCTGGTGACTATAGTGTCCCTTTAACATATTTATATTTTAAAAAAGCCCAAGTAGCAGTCATAAGGGTTAGTTTCCCATTTCTCACAGTACAGGTAGCATTTAAAGGTTAAAAAACAAAATGCAGACCCTCAGTCTCCTTTTCTCCTAGCTTTATAAAGGGCTACTCAAACCTGAGCTACCCAGCGTCTGCCTTTCCTCAACACAGACAGGTCAGGTAGCAGAGTTCTCTGCCTGCCCTTGGCAAAACAGGCACAGGCTCCTGTATGGTGGGTTCTCTAGGTTAATTTATTCCCACTCTGTGTTTTATCTTGCTACATCCCATTTGTTATGTCTTACCGTAAAGTTATTTTTCCATAGTTCAAGCAGCAATCATGATTTCCCTCCCTTTCTACTGGATCAAAAAATTAATTCTATATTCTTCTTTTAGCTTGTCATTTACTGGGGACCTATTACTGTATTTAGGCAAGTTATGTAATGCACTTTATAAATAGTTAAAGTGCAGGTTAAAAGCAGAATGTGATTTTTAATGGTGGAGAGATCTTTGATACTTGCATCTAGATAAAACAATTCTATGTTCCAGTCTAACAAGAAATCAGAAGGATTTGGATGCCAAAGAGGATTTGCTCAGTATGACAGCCACTGGAGGCAGGTTAACCCTGCAATAAAAACATTGCCTATAGAGTACCTCTATAGTAGATCTGTCACAAAATTTGCAAAGACCCCCATCGCCGCTTGAGGGTGGGAGGCAAATGTGAGATTAACCTGAACCTGTCCCTCGCGGGCACCACCATTCTCTTCCTACTGCTCCTCTTCAGCTTCTGGCACTTCAGCTGCCAGAAGTCTACACCAGCGCTGTACTCTAGCACATGCAACCATAGAAAGAGCTTGATTTCAATATAGCTGTGACAAGTGATGGCTTGACTGCGGTAGCCTCACCTAGTGTCAAGCTTTGTCAGTTCATACTTAATCTCAGTATATCGTTTGACTGGGTTGGAATTTCAGTGAGTATTTTATAAACTCTATGAAATGCTCATTTGGGAAAAAGGGAGGTGATGACAGTGCTGTTTTAAGTAAAAGAACAGATTGTTTTGATATCGTAGAGGTCACTGGTCCTTTAGTAGTAAAGGTGATGCACATTGTTAATGACCCAGTATATTCTGCAAATGCTACATACATTGAACATATGTAAAATACTCTTGACACTGATGGTGAAAGGGTTCAGTAGATGCAAGGAATCCACCTACTACTAGCACTTACACGACATGCCACCAGTTATTTTAAATAAAAGTGGTTGACCAAAATGCTGGGTCTTGTTTTCATTATATCTGGTATAAAATGGAAAATTGTGTTGTAGTTTCTGCCTGGAAGAAAAAAAGAATTTAGCAAAATGACATGAAACAAACCTGCTCCTCCAATAGTGTCAGTATGCTTGATGCATCAGAATCTTCAAGGTTCTCTTGGGAAACAATTTCGTAGAGGGGAGCCTCGTCTGGATAGGATTCCACGTAGACAAACTTTAGACTTACTTGAACATCTGCAAAATAAGCAGACTTATTATTGCAACTGTCTACAAGTACAAGTAATCAAAATCTCGTTTTTTTATTTGACAAAATTCTCCAGAAGAGTGTATTTTGATTTACACAAACATGAATTAACCATAATCTGTCCTTGGAGTATTTACATAAATGCAATATATTTTCTTTATTTGCACATAATTTTCTAACTTTTCTTTCAACACAGTCCAATCTCACTAATCATTCTATACAGATGTAGAAGTCTATTCACTCAGTTACATAACTGGGATTTTTTTCCCCCAAGTTTGCCCTTTTGATTTATTTTATCATGTTGATAATTGTTTAGTCGATAGACCTCACAGCTGTTCAAGGGTATCTAGTGAAGTTATCTATATACAGAAATAACCGTGCCAATCTTAATTCAGATCAAGCATTAGCTGACAGAAGAACTTGTTAGGTGCCCCAGCATCTAAAAAGCTACCAAATTCAATTACAGATCCACAGAATCTTTCCTGAGTCAGCTAAACTTGATTCCACCTGATTTACAGCAAATTTGTTCTTGGTTAAACTACATAATGAAGTTTTCATTGAAATAAGTCGCAACTAATACTAAACTACACAGAGCTGTGATCTTACAGTGATTTTGAAGACAGATTGGTAGATGTATACCTCATTTGCCTTTCTCCAATATAAAGCAAAACATGCTCTTTTGGAAATTCAAAGATTAGCTAAAGAACATTAATACAAGGTATACTTCAGAACAAAAGGTTTTGTTAATGATGAAAGCAACGTGGGACCACTCACACCAAATAAAATAAAAGTTACTTGCAGGGTTATTCATTAAATTCAAAATGAAGCAAATTAAAATGGCAGACATACCGGATCTGAAAGAAAAAAAAAAGAAAAAAGAAAAAGAACCTGACTATTTAGTCTAAAATTATGCCATTTGAATTTTCAATTTGCTACCATTCAGAGTTTAGTGAATAACCACGTATATCCCTGGGGGAATATGGTCCGTGGAAGAACAAGGAATGCATATCAATTGCCTCGAACTGCTGGCAGGCTGATTTGCCCTATGGAGCCTCTTGGGTGTATCAACCAATTGCTCCATACTTTTACGGATGGACAACATATCAGCGTCTGGTACATCAACCAACCACCTTGGTGAGCACAAAGTCAACAATTTTGGCAAAGCAGCAATGGAATTTTGGCAATTATGTGTGGATCGCAATATGTCTGTGCAAGTGGAGTACATTCTGGGGATGTCCAACATAGTTGCGGATTGGAACTCCAGACAATTACAGGATGCCAGCGATTGGCGGCTGAACCATTCAGTTTCTCAGTTTGCAGTCTCTTTGGGGCCCTCTGTAGATCAACCTAGTCGCATCACGTTTCAACTCCCAACTACTGAGATTTTTCAGCTGGAGACCAGATCCAGAGGCTTTTGCAGCAGATGCCTTCCTGCAACCATGGCCGAATACTTGCCATTACGCTTTCCACCCTTCTCTCTCATTGCTCGGACACTTCAACATCTCCGGCGTTATTGGATCTCCTTGATCCTCATAGCTTGTCCTGGACAACTCAGCCATGGTTCCCTACACTCATGGAAATGTCCATAGACTACCCGAGATTGCTCCTGGTCTTCTTTGACCTATTGCTGGATCCAAACAGGAACCCATATCCACTTCTCCTCCAGGGACATCTCAGGCTATTAGCATGGCTCCTTTCCGGATACTCTGTTTCGTCCCTAACGTTCCAAGAACAACTTTGGATCTCATGGCGGGAGCTTGGGCCCCAGGAACAAGGAAATTCTATGTCCATGCATGGAACTCATGGAATGGTTGGTGTATGCAACAACATGTGGATCCCATATCTGCACCTGTGATTCATTTTTTTGAGTTTCCTACTGAGCATACTGTATGATAGAGAGATATATATATATATATATATATATATATATATATATATCTCAACCATCTCGGCAGGCCACCAGGATTGGAACAGACTTCCAGCAGGTAAACATCTTTGGTATGTCGACTCCTTCGTGGCATCAGATTTAAACGTCCTCCACGTTCTAAATATTCCTCCTTATGGTAGGTGGAACTCATCCTGCGACAATTTGAAAATTGGCCTCAAAATGAAAGTCTTTTGTTCAAGCAACTCACAGCAAAATTAGTTATGTTGTTTTGTCTCATCTCCTGCAAACGTGTCTCAGACGCTCGTGCACTGGACATTACAGCATGCTCCTTTACTCCAGATGGCGTCTCCTTTGACATTTCAAGGTGTACGAAAACATCCATTACCTCAGTCTTTTACCCAGCTCTTTCACATAGTGTTAATCTCTGCCCAGTGGCCTGTCTCAAGGAATATGAGAAGACCTCTTCAGTACGTGATCCTCAATATGCTGATTTATTTCTAGCCTTCGACGCCCACATCAACCTGTTTCTACAATCACCTTATCTCGTTGGGTCAAATGGATCATGATGTTGGCTGACATTGACACTTCCACATATGGAGCACACTCTGTTCGAGGTGCTGTGGCATCTAAAGCCTTCTCCTTAGGCTGCAGGCTAGAAGACTTCCTCCGTGCTGTTGATTGGTCCCAGGGATCTACTTTTTGGTAATTCTATTTTCGACCAGTTCCTCAATTTTCCACTAAGATTGCACAGCTTTGAATGAACATAATATGAGCCTCCGTGTCCTTTAATAAAATTACCAGATTTTACTGATTTCATGACAAAGTCATGATTTTATTAAGGACACGGAGGAGCGTATTATCCCACCCGATACAGGTATGTTACACCCTCCCCGGGGAATATGTATTATTTTAACAAGCAGTATGCAGTCTTCATGGTATTGTTGTTGTTCACCTAACTGACTAATTTCTGTTGAAGTAATTGTTGACAAATCGGATATACTGTTATGATAATTGATACTTTGTGGAAAAGATTTAATATACAGGAGCATATTTTACCACTTAATTCTCTGTCTTTACAACCTCCTAATTGTTTTCCCACTAGTCCACATCGGTTCATAACACGTTCAATCAGAGGATTGCAAGTTTTCCGCAAAGTTCCATTGTCGGATTATCCGGGAGTCGCTGTCCTTCGCATCTAGTTTGTTGTACATTGCGGTCTTGTGGAGATGTTAGTCGGCATCATTAAGAAAGAGGAGTGGCTGAAGGTCACATGGGACATTATAATACAATGAGCACTCCTATTGGATAACATGTTATATTGTGGTTAACCCACTAGGGCACATGTTTTAACATTTTTCCTTTGAATATTTACAGCATCCCTGCTTTCCTGCTGAGGAATAAAGAATGAGATAAAACATAATACTTTACATCATGTAATTAGTAAAATCTGGTCATTTTCAGGTTACATACAAGTCAAGTGTAAATTAAAGAGATGAAAATTCCATCTAAGCATTAAAAAGAACCTGTGTATAAAATGGTACCCTTCCACACCTTTTAATTCATTATCTTCATAGAAGTATATACCAACAACATATTGACCACAAGGGCATAAGAACCATCCTAGAAGCAGTTCTCCTGCTCGCTCATACTAATATTTCTGCAGAAAGCACATCATCTGCTTGCAGGGAAAACAAAGCAAATGAGTGACTGATGTCACTCTGTTCTGATGCCATCAGAAGGGCAATGAAGACATCATGTTGGGAAGCTATACAAAGGGACCGAAGCAAGGTGTCACAGTAATGTGACATACACGGATCTCCAAACATGGTGCAGCTGGCATACCGGAGACAAGGTAATCTATGAACTGATCCGAAAACAATTAAACTTGAAATTTACCTTCATGATAAATAATATAACTTGCATTGCTTAAGCAGCTGTTATTCGTTTAAGGTGAAATGGTCATGATAGGAGCTTGTTTTCATTCGAGCTCGTTTAAAATGAACCCAAGTAAATTTCTTACTCTCTAAGTTACAGAGCTGTGAGAAATGTACTATGTACTATTATGTTCAAGTGTACACAATTAATATTTACTTACCGTACTTTTTTCAGAGAAAGAGTAGAGAAAAATTAAAATTAAGAAGACGATATTTTCCATATAAAAAGCTAAGCGGTAGTTAGTATTACTATTTTTTGAAGATAAACTTACTTTCCTCATCGTCTCCGGCTTCAGATTTTACCGTGATAGAGAAACTTGCTGGGGAAGTGGTTAATACTGAAGAGAAAAGTAGAAAAAGAAAAAAGTTACTTAAATAAAAGCAATCCTAAGAAATTATGTGCTGCAGACAAGCTGTAATTATTGAGTTATTTAGGAGGCATTCCGAAGAGGAAACCAATGACAGGCCCAAATTTGACAATACCACCTCTTGAACAGGTACTGCTGCAAATAATGCTGCTGTAAGGCTTTGCTATTGAACTTCTCCTAATGCTGTATTTATCCTCTAAATCCCTGCACAGCTCCTTTATGTTGTAATTCTGTTATCTGCTTTTACTTGCAGTTTCCTTTGATGTGCTATATAATATGAGCAACTGGTATATTAGAAACATGGAACAGCGTTAGAATAGACTGTAACAGCTACAGTAACCAGCATGAAGAAGTATTTTAGAAGGGGAAGGTAAGAGACGTAGGAGTAAGATGCAGATTACTGCAATATGTTTTTTCCCCAAAAGCTATATACACACACACGAGTTAAATATATACAGGCAATTATTTAGGTCAATCCAAATAAAGTGCACAAACCCAAAGGTTATGTTATACACTGAGTCCCTTTAAAGCAGACCTCACAACAATTTAAAGAGAGAACATAAAAAATCTATATGTCATGCTTACAACATTATAAATTTTCACCAGCTCTGGCTTAGAGTAAATTATTTACCAATATCTACTAGTGTGTTAGTACCATTAAACCAAGAATGATATGACATAAGAACAATTTACAATTGTGCTGCAAACCCTGATATGAGTGCACAAAATATTCTACCCTCATCCCATTTTGCAGTTAATAATACCTGTTCTTTTTAATTAACTGCTCACTGCACTTTAGACCTTTTGGAAATATTCCACCCCCTCCCCCCCAAAAAAAAAATCAAGTCATAAAAACAAACAAATAACCCCCCCCCCCAAAAAAAACTACAACCTTTGCATCTGAAAGAGAAATGTAAATAGGCCAAAATGTAAATAGTCATGTATTTCATGATTCAAGTACTCAGAGTGAAATAGGTGATGTGGAATAGGCTGAATATTGGAGAGTAGCAATGCAGCCTAGTTGGTTATTGCTTCTTTTCCACATTAATTTTGGATGTAATTGGTGATACCTTCAACAGTAATTTGTATCTGCGTTACCTGCTTACTACTTGTTGGAGTTGACTAACTGGGTTATTCACTAAAGAGAGAACTGAAAGGCGATTCAAATTAAATTTTTAAATTTAAGGCCAGAGTAGCTGAACTTAAATTACAGAGGACTTAGACAGTGTTTCCAATTTGGCTATTTTCACCTTAACTTTGAAATTCACTTCAGATCACATTAGTAAATTACCATTTTATTATTTTAATTTGCAAAGCAAACTTTAGAATATGGTTTATCTGACCAGCTAGGTTATGCTAAACTGCATAGCTCAGACAAGCCCTTAGACTACCTCTCTTATGTGTCTTGTGGAGTCTTTCATATAATTTAAAGGGACACTATAGTCACCCAGACCACTTCAGCTCAATGAAGTGGTCTGGGTGCCAGTTCCCTCAGGTTTTAACCCTTCAGATGCAAACATAGCAGTTTCAGAGAAACTGCTATGTTAACATTTGGGGTTAATCCAGCCTCTAGTGGCTGTCTTCGGGACAGCCACTAGAGGCGCATCTGCAACGCTGGAGGCACATTTTGCCTCCATCACGCAGAGCGTCCATATGAAAGCATTGAGAAATGCTTTACTATGGACACTTTGAATGCGCGAGCGGCACTTGCTGTGCATTCGGCTCCGCTGACGTCAGCGGGGGAGGAGAGGTCACCAGTGCCAAGGGAGCCCGGCGCTGGATTACGGTAAACTGCAGAAGGGGTTTTAACAGAAGGGAACCACCCTCAGGACACTATAGTGTCAGGAAAACTGTTTTGTTTTCCTGACACTACAGTGATCCTTTAAGCATGTTATTTCAATTAGAAGAAAAAAAAAAAATAAATCTAGTTAGACTTAGATTGCATAATCCTACTATTTTATACTATGCAACACATGTCTATTATTTGAAATGTCGATCCTTTTGCTGTACAAATGTTATTTTTAAAAGAAATAAAAAGTGACCATGCTGCTTTGAAGGCTGCTTGAAAGTGCAATCAGAAAAACTTATACGATTACAAACAAGTACACTGTTTTACAATACACTTAGAACAGTTAAAATAAAAATAAAAAAATTCTAGTTTTAAAAACGTAAGAGACACTGATATCTGAAGGTACAACATCAGAGTTCTATAAGGAAAATAGCAATATAACTGCAGCAGGTAGATGGTCTCTCACATGAAATTACCAATAAAGCTCAAGGGAAGCTCTCACTCATAGATGTCATTTATAAAATTAGATTCTTTCTCTGGAACAAAATCGGTTCCAACCGAATTCTCGCGTCTGCTTTCATATATCAGGATGCCCACACTCAGAATTTCTGATAACTTGGCCTGACTAAAGACAGAGGGAGAAACCACCAGGAAATTGATCATTTTAGGCCAAAATATCTGACCTGGATAAACAGGCGTCTTAAATGTAATAATCAAGGAATAGTTATAGAAAGTTATTGTAAGTAGTATTAATCCTGCATTAGGGCTATAAACACTGAGCTCTCACATCGCCATGGTACCACTATGGAGTGAGTGACTGTGACCAGCAGCGATAGGGGGCACTCTGCCAAAGTGAACCCCCGGGCTGCCAGCTGGGGCCTGGGACATACACTGACCGCCTGGAAAGGCAGGGGTTCATATACAGTGTAGAACTACATCTCCCAGAGTGCACCGCGCGGTCACCTCACATACCCCATGGAGGAACAATAACTCGTGGAGCGGACTCACCAGTGAACGAGTCGGCGTAAATGGACTCCAGAGCCTCCAGCTCATTGCGCTGCTCCTCGGCGTAGTCCGTCATGGTTACCGGGCCATGGACCGCTGTGTCGGTCTGCCGGCGGCTGGGGGAGAGAGGGAGGAGAGGAGCCGCAGCCCGAGCTCCAGTGCTGCGAGTCGCTGTCTGCTAGCCGGCCACGCTCGGAAAAGATCGACAGCTCTGACATCGACTGCTTCTCCCTGACTCTCTCCTCCTCCTCCGGAGTCTACGGGTTAACCCTTGAGGGCTCGCAGTGGGAACTCTCCAGCCCCTCACCGATTAGTTCATCGCGGGGGCAGCCTGATCACCTATACTGCATCCCCGGGACTCCCTACGGCCACTGTCCGCTGTATGCGTCAATGAAGGGAGAGTATGGGTGTGTGACGGACATGGACAGCGTGATAATGGCTGGGCGCAGTGCGCGTGATGTGGGGACTGGAGATTATATAACGGCTTTTATTCCCATAGCGGTAATGACAGACACGGAGCAAACTGTCAGTGAGGATACACTATGTGCTATCGATTGGTTGAGTCTGAGAGGCTGCTGGAAATGACGTCATAATGAAGCGCCCCCTACCCTCTCACTCATAGATTCCTGCCTGGCATGGCTTGGCTACATGGTACATGGTACAGGTGTCAGCAATAGGAAGATACAGTACTTCTTACACTGTTGGCTGGTGCAAGGATTTTGCCCTAGGCAAACAAAAATCCCCCCCCACATCACAATGCCCCACCCATATGATCTGCCGTATGAGCCAACACCAGTGCTGCACACAGTGTATTTTATCTGAAAAGGCAGCGTGTTTATATTAACCCCTTCAGGAAGGAGTCAATAGTACACAAAACAAAATGTAAACTAAACCTGGAATTTGTGCTACATGTCTTCAACCGTAATACACCTCTTTCATATTAACCCCTTAAGGACACAGCTTCAGAAGCTTGACTTACGCTTAATGACAAGCAATTTTTGCATTTTCTGGCTGTTTGCGTTCAACTGCAATTTGCATCTCTCTCATTTATTGCACCGACACATATAATATACTGTTTTTTAAAGGACAGAAAGGGCTTTAATTTGATATAACATTATATATATATATATATATATATATGTATATAAATGCTTATTATAAAAAAAAATACAGAAAAATGCAAACAAAATGAAAACTGTTTTTTTTTTTTTTACAGTTTTTGCAATAATAATGTGTGTATAATTAGTGCAGGTTAAGGAAAGTAAAAATAAATTCATTTAGTTGTTCTGATTTACAGAATATATAATGTGTCTGGGATTTTAAGGTTTTTTTTGGTAGTTACAGGTCACAAAGCACAAGGAGTAAAGTACTATTACGCCCTATTTTAGGCGGCTCTAAACGCCGCCGGGTGTAATAGTACGCCCTCCGGTCTTTCTATACTTACCCGGACGCTGGCGATCGCGGTTGGGGGGACTCCCAGGGAGCCCCCCCGCTGCACGTCCGACCCCCTGGCAGCCCCCCGGCCATGTGAGAGTGAGGTCCTTGCGAGGACCTCACAATCACATGGCCGGGGTAGCTGCCTCCTGCATTGCCAGCAGGGGGGGCTGTCTGTAATGACAGGTGGTCCCCCTGCTGGTTGGAATTAAAATAAGTGTTAAAAAAAAAATAATATACTTAGATCATATATATATATATGATCTAAGTATATATATACACACAAACACATATACTGTCTTGGTGTATTTTACTATTAATATATATATAATTATATACATATATATATTAATATCAAATTACACGTAGACTGATACTGATTAAATATATATATATATAATTATTGTTATATATTTATATTTAATATAAAAAAATTCAATATGTAAATACGTTAAAAAATAAAATTAAAAAATTATTAAAAAAATATATAGATGTGTGTTATTTCGTTCTAACTGTATTGTGATATTAATATATATATATATATTTATATCAAAATACACGTAAAACAAAATAATATATATATATATATCTATATACATAAATATATATGTATATATCACTATATATATACCTATATATAAATAAAAATATTTTTTAAAAATTATATATATATATATATATATACATATATATTCACATACGTATATATATACATATATTAATTCTACATATATATTTATGTAATATTTTTACATAATTAGGTATCTTAATTAATTACAATTAGTGGGACCTGCATGACAACCCATGCCAGTTTTTGTGACCAAGTGGCTCCTAAAAACGACTGGATATACCCCATTTGCAATACCTTGGGTTGTCTACTATTGCAAATGGTATGCCATCATGGGGGTAATTTTCATTCCTGGACTACCATACGGTCTCAAAGGCAACGTAACCAATCTGCCGAATTTCAAAGTGAAAAAACTGAAATGCAAGCCTTATATTTGACTCTGTAACTTTTGAAAACACCATAAAACCTGTACATGAGGGGTATAGAATAAAGTTAGAATGAAATTACACATATATATTTTTTTTATTTATTTTGTATTTTTTAAATTTTATTTTAAAGTATTTACATAGTTATTTATTGTATATTATATATAAATATATATATAATGGTAATTATATATATATATTTAATCAATATCATTCTAGTGTGTACTTTGATATTAATATATATATATATATATTAATATTAAAATACACGTAGACAGTGTATGAATATACTTAGATCATATATCATATATATATATATATATATATATATATATATATATATATAATATAAATATGATCTTAGTATATATAATTGTATTTTAAACTGTATTTCATTTTTTTCAGGCAGCAGGGTGGGTAACTGTCATAAACAGGTCCTCGCAAGGTACCCCCATAAACAGATTTTACTATGTTTTGTAAAGTTACAGGGTCAAATATAGCACATTCCATTTTTCATTTTTTTACATTCAAATTTGCCAGATTAGTAATGTTACCTTTGAGACTGTGTGGTAGCCCAGGAATAAGAATTACCCCCATTGCAAAAGTACACAACCCAAGGTATTGCAAGTGGGGTATGTCCAGTCTTTTTTAGTAGCCGCTTAGTCACAAACACTGGCCAAAGTTATCGTTCATATTTGTTTTTGTTTGAAAAAAGCAAAAAAACAAATATTTGGCCAGTGTTTGTGACTAAGTGGCTACTAAAAATGACTGGACATACCCCGTTTGCAATACCTTGGGTTGTCTATGTAAGGAAACCAAGTATATTTAAACCTCATTCGGTAGTTTTCTCCCGAACCGCCAGAGCATCAGTGATTATAGCTCTCCGTTCGGTAGATAAAGTAGACAAACTGAATAGTAATCCCAATAGCTTCATAAGATAATTCCCTTAGTGAAGCACACAAATCCCCAAACATCAGTCGAAGTCAAGAAGAAGGGTACAACTGAACTGAGCTTTAATGATTGCACACAGGCTTTTATGCAAGTCCTCAAATTTCACCCAGATCGGTTCAGGGGTTCTCAAAAACTGTGGAAGTCTTCTGTGACCGACTCACCGTGGGCTGGCTGCCCAAAACAGTTCCATGAGTTTGGTGGGTTTTGCCGGTCACTTCAGTAAAAGGGAAAAAGCGAATAAAGTACCGAATGGATCCCCCTGGCTCTCAGCAGCGACTGTTCCCCTCGGTCGAATGCACCAAACTACCGAATAGCGCTCTTCTAGCTCTTCTGGAATTAGTGTGCCAGCGTTCGTCTGTTTGAGACTGGTGTTCGGGAAGTCGAGTGTCCGATTTTAGTTCCAGACACTTGACGACCAAGTCCCGCTGCCTTTGTTCGGCTGAAAAAAGATGGCCATGGTTTTCTCAGCCACGTGGCATTCGGTAGTACGAACGCTGGCCGCACAGATAGAGGGGTTGATTCTACCGAATGAATAAAGGTAAAATGAGGTGAATAACTAGTGAATAAATAGGGATTTCTTCACAGTCTACTTTTGCAAATGGTATGCAATCATGGGGACAATTCTCATTCCTGGGCTACCATACGGTCTCAAAGGCAACATTACCAAACTGGCAAATTTCAATGAGAAAAAAATGAAATGCAAGCCTTATATTTAACTCACTAACTTTCCAAAACACCGTAAAACCTGTACATGGGGGGTACTGCTATACTTGGGAGACTTCACTGAACACAAACAAGTGTTTCAAAACAGTAAAACATCTTACAACAATAACATCGTTAGTAAAAATGCTGTTCGTGTGTGAAAAATGCAAAAAAACATCACTTTTACTGAAACTAAAAAAAAGGAAAAGCGTCTACAGGTAGTGGAAGTCCAAAAAGGTACTTATCCAACAGCCCGTAGAGGGTAACACCAATTTAGACACTCCAGAAGTGTCTTGGGGCATAACCCCTAAATAGTTAATAATTGAAAAAAGAGATCTACAAAATACCGGATATAACGACCCGGATTCGGGATCTCAACTGGAAAAATGTTGTAACAAATAATTGGTAATTGATCATAGATAAACGTCAAGGTATGGGTACATATAGTCCCTGAGTGGAATAATAGTAGATGGTAAACCCGAATTAAACCTTTTGTATTACACTCTATGACCAACGACGACATTTAGAGTGACACTTAAAAGAAATGATGTCAGACTGTCATCTACACATCGTGTAAGACATTAAGCATACAAATTGCTTAGATTCATATGCGGTCCATATATGCTTGGTCAGTCATTTTGAAGAACCCAGCGTCAGTAAGACTCCTAGCCTCTGACGGACAAGTAAGGTATTCATATGAAAAATCTCTATACTCCCTCAATATACTAACTATGAATCGTTTATCATCGCGATTCATTTTCGAGTGGAGTTTATTCTTAATCTTTATGTTTAGCAGTAGTGACTCAAGTGGGACTACAATGAGTTAAACATCAGTCACTGACACTAGCAACTAATGTTAATAATAATTCTTTCTATCACGATGACTGATGTTGCGCACCAATAACGATAATGCCGATTACACTTTAAATTTGTGGTCTTTAATATAAACTAACTAACAAATATGAACTTTTGTTCTTCATTATTTTTATACCTATACGGTTCCATTCAAGGGGTTAACTTGATCTTTATATGATCTGGGCATTACAGGGTTAACTTTCGCATCATACCATGGAGGCGTATTCAGAAACACTGAGAGTCTCCTGATTGGACTATCTGAACTTCTCAGCTGCATAATGAGATTTCGGTATTTTGGTGCCGGCTTTTGATTAATACTTACCACCGATAGGTCCAATTTTCGAAATATCAGCAGCCTTAGGGGTATTTAACAGGAACCCTTCGGTCAGTACGGATTCAGCCCCTGACGAAGGTGCACTACGCTGGCACCGAAACGCGCGTCGGGTTGAGGGTTCATTCCTTCACTTTTTGTTTTCACCTCACTGGGCACTTTATTATTTCACCACTATGTGCAGGTAGCCAACATTCTAAGTATGGCTCTGCACTTTAGCACGCTTTTAGTATAACACTATTTTTTCCTTTTCCTCCTGTCTTATGTCTACCTAGCCTTGGTGGGACCTTTACATTTATTATTGGAAACAGAGGGTTATTTTGATAATAATCTATTCGTAGATTTTCTGGGATCGCAAAGATTTAATGGGTAGCGGATCCTTACTTCAATAACTTTTGCTTAATAAGTATCCAATTGTTTCATACTTATTCACGAGATTGCTATTTAGTTATTCATTTTCATAGCAACAGAATAACTTTTGGATAGACGCTGTCAACAATTACTACGCTTACTATCCGGGTATTTAATTACGTGTAGACAAGTACTCTGTATTTCCATATCCCGCTAAGATTTTTAGGGTACCAGTGAACCTAACAATTCACGAGATTGCTATTTAGTTATTCATTTTCATAGCAACTTAATAACTTTTGGATAGACGCTGTCAAGAATTACTTCGCTTACTATCCGGTTATTTAATTACGTGTAGACAAGTACTCTGTATTTCCATATCCCGCTAAGATTTTTAGGGTATCAGTGAACCTTTTAGTGTGTGTAATTACTGTATGACATTACTAATACACTCACCCCCCCCCCCATTTTTTTCACTACCCATATAATATGGGCACCTGATGGTTCTCTAGGCATTTATTAATACTTAGGTTACCCATATAGTCATTTTAAGTGCCAGCCATAGACCATCTGTATTTTATTAAAGTCTAAAGCATGGCCTTAAGACTATTTGATTAGTAACCTTTAGACAGGAGGTTAGCCATTTGGCTTGTTATTTAGTTTGGTCCGTCTACTATTATTCCACACAGGGACTATATGTACCCATACCTTGACGTTTATCTATGATCAATTACCAATTATTTGTTACAACATTTTTCCAGTTGAGATCCCGAATCCGGGTCGTTATATCCGGTATTTTGTAGCTCTCTTTTTTCAATTATTCACTTTTACTGAAAATATCATCGTTTAAAAATTTATCATTTTCAAACACTAATATTTGTGTTCAGCGAAGTCTCCTGAGTAAAACAATACCCCCCATGTACAGGTTTTATGGTGTATTGGAAAGTTACAGGGTTAAATATAGTGCTTGCGAATTAAATTCTCTGCACTTTCTGCCTGGGTTGCCAGGCATGTCAATCAAATTTTAATTAATTAAATCACATAATTATGTTAAAAGATTACTTAAATATACACATAGAATTTTAATATATATACATATATATGTATTTAAATTCTACGTGTATACTTATGTAATCATTTATGTAATTATATATATTTATCTATATATATATATATATATATATATATATATATATATATATATATATATGTACATATATATATATATATATATATATTTGTGGTTATTTGTATTTTATATATAGATAGATATAAATAGAATGTCATTCCAAGTGTATTTTGTTACATACATATATATATATATATATATATATATATATATATTAATAACAAAATACAGTTAGAATGAAATTACATATGTATATATAATTTATTTAATTTTTTTTAAACAATTTATTTATTTTATTGTATTTATTTATTCTTGTAATATACGTGTATATATAAATATAAAATATATATATATATGTATGTATTTTATATATATATATATATATACACACACATCTGATATATATATAACGTCATACTTAATGTATTTTAATGTTAATATAAGTACATATATTAGTATTAAAATACACTTATATATTTATATATAACTTCATTCTAAGTGTATTTTAATACTAATATATGTACTTATATTAACATTAAAATACACTACGTATGACGTTACATATATATATGACGTTACATATATATAAGATCACTCTTTGCAAGTGATCACATGGCCCTCGGGTGCCTGATTTGCCGGGGAGGGCTGCCTGGGCTGTCCCAAAGAGGATCGCGGAGGAGGTAAGTAGCTGGAGGCTCCTGGGGGCTTTAGCCCGTTACGACGTTCTATGTCGATGCAACAGCTTTAAAGCCCATTGTAATGGGGATGGCATAGAACACCGTAATGGCGTTAACAGGTTAAAAAGCATGCAGGGACAGGCTATAGAAACCAGAACCACAACATCAAGCTGTAGTGGCCCTTTAATGTGAGGTAAATTAGGGATTAGTGCCACTAATAATATACTGGACTGCCGACTTACCACCAGATGAGGACAAGAGGATGATGGGCTCAGGCTGCAGTCTGGCTCCACTGGTCTGATGTTAAAACAGGCTCTGGAGGCAGTGCTCACAAAAACAAAGAACAGGAAGCAGCTCCATTTTTTCTTGCCTCTTACACAGATCACTGGGCCCCAGGGCCTGACCATGAGTATGCCTACAAAGCCTGCCCATAAGCCTGATGCCTAAAGGCCCACCCGTGAGTTCGCTCACAGAAAGTGGAGTGTATGTGTGTAGGAGATGTTATGTGGTATTGTAGAGGATGTAGTGTGTGTTCTTATGTAATGTGTAGGCATACCAGTTTGTGTAAGGGATTTAGTGGGTGTGTATAGGGGTGCAGTGTGTGTTTGTGTGTAAAGAATGCATTATGTGTGTGTGTGTGTGTGTGTGTAAGGGATGCATTGTGTGTTTCTGTGTATGTAATGTAATGTAGTGCAGTGTTTCCCAACCCAGTCCTCAAGGCACACCTACCAGTCCAGGATTTAGGGGTGACCCAGTTGTGTCTAAGGTGTTTTTTCTGAAAACACCTTAGCCACTACTATGTAATCCCTAAATCCTGGACTGGTAGGTGTGCCTTGAGGACTGGGTTGGGAATCACTGATGTAGTGTGTGTGCCTATAAGGGGTGCATTGAGTGTGTAAGAGATGCATTAAGAGAAGCAGTGTGTGTGTGTAAGGGATGCATTGTGTGCTTCTGTGAATGTGTGCAAGGGCTGCATTGTGTGTTTGGAAGGTTTGCATTGTGTGTGTGTAATGGATGCATTGTGTGTTTCTGTGTGTTTAAGGGAAGAATGGTGTGTTTCTGTGTTACTGTTGGATGCATTGTATGTTTCACTGTGTGTGTGTGTGTGTGTGTGTGTTTCTGAGTAGGGGTGCATTCTGTGCATGTGTGTTTCAGTGTATGTGTAAGGATGCATTGTGTATGTGTGTAGTGTGAAAGAGAGGGTTTGTGGGCTAGGATAGGGGCTGAGAGGGGAGCAGCTCTTAATTTTTATTATTATATTTATTTTGTTAATATAATTTTTTGGTATATTTTTTGTATATGCTTTGTGTCTCTCTTACAAGCCTCTTGTGTATCTCTTATCCCCCCTCTTTGTATGTCTCCCACATCCTCCCAACCCCTTTGTGCGTCTTTCTCCCCCAAGCCCCTTTGTGTCTTACTGTCATGAGGTATCTCTTCCGGGTTCGGCATTCCTGCTATGCAGAGCCGGCCCTGCCCCCTTCTGACGCGGCTCTCTGACACTACTTAGAGAGACCGCGCCAGAGAGAGAGCGCTTGGTGATTGTGGGACCTACTTCCGGGTATAGACGCCGGCTCCACAAGCTTCTCTCACAAGCCTTCCTAAACCTTTGAAGATAAAAGGATTATGCTTCATCCACTGGGGATTACTGGAGAACGGACACTTTACCATTTAACAAGTGGACTCTAATACTGATCTCTTGGAGGACAACTCACATTAATCTTAAGTATAACTTCCAAGTTATTATCTGGAATCTCCGTTATTAATGAACTGTTTCTTGCTTGCTCAAATCCTCTTTGCTGCATACACACTAATTATATTGAGGATAACTCCTTAAAAACCCTAGTAGCATAACACTTGCTCTTCCCATCTCCTTGATGTGTCTCTTTTCCCCCCAGGCCCTTCTGTGTGTCTCCCTCACAAGCAACTCTGTGTGTCTCTCTCTCCAGCCCTTCTGTGCTTCTCTTTCACCCCTTCCTCAGCCTTTCTGTGTGTCTTACACTCCCCCGTCCCTTAATGATCTCTTCCACTCCCCCCCTGTCCCTTAGAGGTCTCCCATCTTGTCCCTTAGAACTCTCCCCTCCTCTCCTGTCCCTTAGTGTTCTCCCCTCCTCTACTGTCCCTTAGTGTTGTCCCATCCCCTCCTGTCCCCTAGTGCTGTCCCCTCCTGCTCTGTAGTGGTCTCCCATCCCCTCCTGTCCCTTAGTGCTGTCCCTTAGTACTCTCCCATCCCCTCCTGTCCCTTAGTGCTCTCCTATTCCATCCTATCCCTTAATGCTCTCCTATACCTTATGATCACCCCTCCCCACCTATCCCTTAGTTATTTTATCTGCTCCCCTGTCCCTTAGTGCTCTCCCCTGCCCCCTGTCCCTTAGTGCTCTCCCCTGCCCCCCCTTCTCATAGTGCTCTCCCTCCCCCTGTCCCTTAGAGTTCTCCCTCATATTTCCCTTAGTGTTCTCTTCTCCCCCCCAGTGTCCCTTAGTGGTCCCCCCAGTGTCCTTAGTGGTCTCCTCCCGTGTCCTTATTGGCCTCTCCCCATGTCCTTAGTGATCTCTCCCCGCCCAGTGTCCTTAGTGGTCTCCTCCCCATGCTCCCTTAGTGGTCTCTCCTCCTCCTCCCATATTTCCATTAGTGGTCTCTCCTCCCTCCTCTCTCCCACTCCATCTTTCCCTTGAGTGGTGTCTCCTCAGCCCCATCCATATTGTCTCTACTCCCCAGTGCCCTTGGTGGTCTCCTCCCCACAGTCTCCCTTAGTGGTCCTCCTCTCCCTCCCCCCAGTGTCCTCTCCCCTCCCCCATATTTCCATTAGTGGTCTCCCCACCCATTAGTGATCTCTCCTCCACCCTGTGTCCCTTAATGGTCTCTCCTCCTATCCCTCCCCTCCAGTGTCCCTTAATGGTCTCTTCTCCTCTCCCTCTCCCCCTGTGTCCCTTAGTGCCATCTCCCACCCCTTCCCTGTAGTGCCTCCTACCTCTGTGTAGCGTGGCCGGGCGGCACGGACCTCAGTACAGGAGCTTCTGTTTCCTGTACCCAGCCAAACTGACAGGAAGTGCTCACTGAGAGAGCACTTAATTTCAGTCGGTCCGGGTGCAGGAAGCTCTTGTATTGCAGTGTGCGCCGCCCAGCCATGCTACACTGAGTGACTGGCAGGAGGGAGCGCTGTGTGCCTCCCTACTGCCTGGTCACTCGAGACTTGCACTGTAGGTGACTGCCTAAGTCACCTATAGGATGCGCCAGCCCTGCAGGTATATAAAAAGTGCTGACCTACAATATGTTTGAGCCATGTGCTACAGAAAGGGAATTGGTTTATTGATTAAAACATTTTAGTGTCCCTTAGTGGTCTCTCCTCCTCTCCCTCCCCCCCAGGGTCCCTTAGTGATCTCTCCTCCCCCCCGTGTCCCTTAATGGTCTCTCCCCCCACCAGTGTCCTAGTGTCCTTTTGTGGTCTCCCCCAGTGTCAGCACTTAGTGATCTCTCATCTCCTTCCCCAGTGTCCCTTAGTGGTCTCTCTCCTCCTCTCCCACCCCAGTGTCCCTAGGGTCTCTCTCCTCTCCTCCCCCAGTGTCCCTTAGTGGTCTCTCCTCCTCCACCCAGTGTCCATTATTGGTCTGTCCCCCCCAGTGTCTCTTAGTAGTATCTCCTCCTCTCTCCTCCCCCCAGTGTCCCTTAGTGGTCTCTCCTCCTCTCCCTCCTCCCCCAGTGTCTCTTAGTGGTCTCTCCTCCTCTCCCTCCCCTCCAGTGTCCCTTAATGGTCTCCTCTCCCTTCCCCCCCAGTGTCCCTTAGTGCCATCTCCCACCCCCTCCCTGTTGTTCCTCCTATCTCTGTGTAGCGTGGCCGGGCGGTGCGGACCTCGGTACAGGAGCTTCTGTTTCCTGTACCCAGCCGAACTGACAGGGAGTGCTCACTGAGAGAGCACTTCCTTTCAGTCCGGCCGAGTACAAGAAGCTCTCGTACCTGCGCCATGCTACACTGAGTGACTGGCAGGAGGGAGCGCTGTGCGCTTCTCTCCTGCCTGGTCACTCGAAACTTGCGCCCTAGGCGACTCCCTAAGTCGCCTATAGGATGCGCCGGCCCTGCTTGTATATGAAAAGTGCTGACCTACAATATGTTTAAACAATGGGCTACAGAAAGGGAATTGGTTTATTGACTAAAACATTTTTTTTTATTTTGTGAGTGAAATAAGAATTATGAAAGTAAGGTTAAAAGTGACATGATGTGCCTATACCTTACTTTGAAACAAGACAGAGGGAGAAAGCAGAACCTATAAAACAGGATTACAGGTAAGTATAATGGCAAGAGAAAAATCTATAAGTGAAATAATAGGTTAGGTGGAAGAAGGAGAACCTACAAAGGGGATTATAGGTTAAAAGAAGGAGTGGTTATAGAAATAATGAGTAAGGCAATATGCCCCAGGAGAAATAAGGAATTAGGCAATATGTCCCACTGACTCACTGACAGACAGACACACTCACAGAGCCACACATTTTTTTTGTAAATTTAAATCCACCCAGCCTCCCTACCTTTGGGAGAGCTGGGTGGATTTTTTACCTGGGGTCCAGTTGGGCTGCTGGCTGTTTGGGCAAGAAGGCAGACGGGCGGTCAGCTGAGTTCCAGGCGGTACCGCTGATTTGTGAGCATATACCGGCTCCCAGGATCACTCTGCGGCGTGCTGGAGTTCAACCAGTCAAACAAGTCTTCGTGGGTAAACAAGTCCTGCAGGACCACTAACTGGAATGGCATTCCTGCTGTGGAAAAAGTGCAGGAATTCCGTTCCCACGCGTTCCTGCAGGACTCGAGACCTGGTCAGGGCTTGACTTCGGGGGGTTAGATGAGCAAATCACAAGTTAAAGGAACACTCCAGACACCTGAAGTAATTTACACTGATTAGCCACAACATTAAAACTACCTGCCTGATAGGGGCGTGGCCAGCAACCGCATGGAGTAGTCGCACAGGGAAAGAGCTCCGCAACCACCGAGCACAAAGCGTCCTAAAACAAGCCGCAAATGCAAGATAAACATACCTACCGGGTGCTACACCCTCCCTGACCACCATGGCACCGTCCAAACAACTTAAAATAACGGGCTCGATCCATACTAACAAAAAAGAACGCTCACGGCAAAAACAAGATGGCGCCGAACCGGAAGTACACCCTCTGAGCACCGAAAATATTACAGAGGAGGATAATGATCAAATGCCCCAAAAAGAAACGCCCCAGTCACCAACCACAGCCTGCACATTATGCTGCAAGCTCTAAAAGAATCCTTGAGAACGGATTTCAGACAGATCACTAAGGAAATCCGAGAAGAAGTACAGGAATTAGGAGATCGCACGAACCGCTCGGAAAACAAAATGGAGGAACTTTGCTCGGCCCATAATGATGTGGTAGATCAGCTACAAAAAATAGAGGAACAGCAAAATAGCATGAAAATTAAAGTGGCGGATATGGAGGACAGGGCGCGGAGCAGTGGCGTACATACCAGGGTCGCAGGGGTCGCGGCTGCGACCGGGCCCGGCCCACCAGGGGGCCCGGCCGCCCCTGCGACCCGGTATGTAGCCACAGGGCCAGCCTCTTCCTGAAGCTACAGGCGACGGCGGTCGGTCGAAGCGGCAGCACTCAGTACTTCCTCTTCAGCTCCCTCGCGCACCGCACTGATACCGGAGCCGGAAGATGACGTCATCTTCCGGCGCCGGCATCCCTACGCGGCGCGCGAGGGAGCTGAAGAGGAAGCACTGAGTGCTCCCTCGCGCGCCCGCCTGCCTGCCCGACCGGCCACCCGCCCAGCAGCACCACTAGACCCCAGGGAATCCCCAACACTCAAGTAAGGAAGCTAAAGGGTCGTAAAATAAAATATTGAGTATGTGTGTTAGTGTATGTGTGTGAGTATTGTGTGTGTGTGTTGAGTAATGTGTGTGTGTTAGTGTATGTGTGTGTTAGTGTGTGTGTGTTAGTGTATGTGTCTTAGTATGTGTGTCTTAGTATGTGTGTTAGTGTGTGTGTGTGTGTTATGTGTGTGTTGGGTGTATGTGTGTATTGTATGTGTGTGTCTTAGTATGTGTGTGTTAGTGTGTGTGTGTGTTAGTATGTGTGTGTGTTGTATGTGTGTGTGTGTTGGGTGTATGTGTGTCTTAGTATGTGTGTGTTGTTAGTGTGTGTGTGTCTTAGTATGTGTGTGTGTTGGTGTATGTGTGTGATAGTGTATGTGTGTGATAGTGTATGTGTGTGTTAGTGTGTGTGTGTTAGTGTATGTGTATCTTAGTGTGTGTGTGTGTTAGTGTATGTGTGTCTTAGTATGTGTGTGTTAGTGTATGTGTGTCTTAGTATGTGTGTGTTAGTGTGTGTGTGTGTGTGTTAGTGTATGTGTGTCTTAGTGTGTGTGTCTTAGTATGTGTTAGTATGTGTGTGTGTTAGTGTGTGTGTATGTGTGTTAGTGTATGAGAGTGTGTGTGTGTTAGTGTATGAGTGTGTGTGTTAGTGTATGTGTGTGTTAGTGTATTAGTGTATGTGTGTGTTAGTGTATTAGTGTTTGTGTTAGTGCATGTGTTAGTGTGTGTCAGTGAGTGTGTCTGTTATTGGGTGTGTGTCTGCTAGTGAGTGTGTTACTGTGTGTGTCTGTGAGTGTGTGTTTGTCAGTGAAAGTGTATGTTTTGTGAGTGTGTATGTATGTCTGTCGCTGAGTGTGTCTCTGTCAGTAAATGTGTGTGTCTGTTAGCTAGTGTGTATGCGTCTGTTCGTGATAGTTTGTGTGTGTGTCTCTTCAGCATTTACCTTTCTCCAGCGTCGGACTCCCCAGTGTCCGCCTCTCAGCTCCGAATGCAAATGCGTGGCAAGAGGCGCGCGCGCGCATTTAAACCGCCCATAGGAAAGCATTACTCAATGCTTTCCTATGGACGTTCAGTGTCTTCTCACTGTGATTTTCACAGTGAGAATCGCGGAAGCTCCTCTAGTAGCTGTCAATGAGACAGCCACCAGAGGCTGGATTAACCCTCAGTGAAACATAGCCGTTTTCACTGCTATGTTTTCAGCTGCAGGGTTAAAACTAGAGGGACCTGGCACCCAGACCACTTCATTGAGCTGATGTGATCTGGGTGTCTGTAGTGGTCCTTTAAGTGTGTGTGCATACCGCGGTCGCGGGGTCGTAGCCCTGCAACCCCTGCGACCAGGTGCCCGCCACCATGTGTTGCGACCCCGACCCGCGCTGAGTAAGCGCGCGGGGGGGGGGCCCACGGATCAATTTTTGCACCGGGGCCCCATGGGTCATGTGTAGGCCACTGGCGCGGAGAAACAATCTCCGATTCAGAGGCATACCGGACGCGATATCCCCAGAAGCACTCCCACAATACCTGCGAACCATGTGCTCCACCCTAGCACCGCAGCTGGAGGCCGCAGCCTGGACTCTAGATAGGGTTCACAGGCTTCCCAGACCGGCCAGATTCACAGCGGACACTCCTAAGGACGTGATAGCACGCTTTCACTATTACACGTCAAAAGAAGCTATCTTATCATCTACAAGGAAAATGGAACACCTACCAGAACCCTACCAAAAAAATCAGCATCTACGCCCACCTCTCAGTGACAACCATGGCCAAGAGGAGAGAGTTTATTAACGTCACCAAGACCCTGCGAAACCATCAGGTATCATACAGCTGGGGCTACCCAACCAAATTGCTGATATGGCATAGAGGCAATTCTGGAACATGAAGCCGGCATGGCAAAACTTAAAGAATGGGGTCTCCACCACAACATGGGACACCAATCCCCTCAGAAAACACAGCCGAAAAAGGTGAGAGCTGAATGGTCCATGGTGGGCTCCCCTTCGCACCCAAACATGCATACCGAGGACTGATCACATAAACCCACCGCGGCTCACCGGATCCGCTGAACCACTTAAGTATTCCTCATTAATGTTTGACTCATGTTACTTTTGACCTCTCCATGCAAAGATAGCAGCATTAAGTGACTTTGACTCTAGGGGGTAAATGACAAATTGTTATGTAAATTGTTTACTGTTCCAGGGTGTGTGTACATAGCATGAAACCGTATGTGAATAGGGAACTAGCTGCACACGGTCCTATTGCAAATAGGCACTTAGCACACACCTGTCTAGTTGCTGTATGACCTAAGAGCAGCACTGAGGTGTGCGCAACTGAATACCACCACAAGCCACAACTTTAACTCAACTACTGGGCACACAACGCTAGTAATAGGGAATAACCATGTATTAAGGCCCAAATACCACACCACGAAGTGCACAATCACATGTAGATACGAGGCTATACGAAAACTAGACACCTGCTGGTACCAGCTAATACCCACACCTAATCCTGGAAAACCATACACCACTCATACACAAACTACAGACACAACTAGAAGCATGGCAAAATCTGGAAATATCTTGGCTGGGAAGAGTAAATACCATCAAGATGATGGCACTCCCCCATGTCCTATACCTATTCCGCACCATACCTATAGCGCTTGGAGACAAACTATTAACCCCTTAAGGACCAAACTTCTGGAATAAAAGGGAATCATGACATGTCACACATGTCATGTGTCCTTAAGGGGTTAAACAAGTTCCAAAACCTCTTTAACGCATACATATGGAAGAAAAAACCTCCAAGAATAGCCAAACGGCTAACGATGCTATCACCAAATAAGGGGGGTCTGGGAGTCCCAAACACCAGAGCATATTACAGAGCAGCGGCCATGACTCAAGGGCTAGACATACTCTCCCGACCTACACCGCCAATATGGGTCCACTTAGAAAATGCATGCATACGACCATACACTTTAGACTCCCTGCTAAGATCATTCACAATATGGGACACCACCAAACATAAACCTATGGAGAGCACTAAATTTCTGATACATAGCTGGATGAAATGGGCAAAAATTCTCACGGGAATAGATAACACCCTATACTTTGCCCCAATACAAACAATCTCGGAGCTCTCAGAAAATATCAATATGGGTCCATGGATCCAAAAAGGCATCATATCAATAACGCAGCTATATACGGAAAAGGGACTAAAACCCTTCCCTGACCTTCAGAAGGAGTTTACACTACCCTCCAGAGATTTGTACTTGTACATTAGACTCAAACACATCCTCCATACGCTCCAAATCAAACAATGTGATACCTCCCAACTTACTCACTTTGGTCTACACTGCACAAGCAAAACATCTATCCCTCTGCTATAGGGCGCTGAACGATAGGGACCCACTGACTAAACACAAATATATAACACAATGGGAGAACGACCTCACATTAACATCCCAACACCGCTCTGGTTACAAGCCATGCAGACAACAAAAAAATCATCCCACAGCTTGTCCCTATGGGAAGCCTACAATAAAATGATAATGAGATGGTACTTCGTGCCGACCAGGTTAGCAGCCATGTATACGTCGGTCTCCCACACCTGCTGGAGATGTGAACTTCATACTGGCAACATATATTCTGGGAATGCCCGCTACTGGAGAAATTCTGGAAGACAATTAGTAAAGCTGTAAATATTATATCGACTCATAAGATTCAATTTACACCAGAATGCTACCTTCTCCACATATCCCCTGAACTACTCTCTGACAGGAATAACCATGTCATTATAAACATAATGACAGCAGCAAAAACTAGCATAGCAACCCATTGGAAAAGCAAACACACCCTATCCCCCACGGAGGTTTGGAATAGACTTGAGACCATAGCAGACTTCGAACAGATGGCATACAGACTGGACGGACAAACTGACACATATGCCAAAACATGGACAAGTTGGACAACACACAACAGCTGAAAAAACTCACATAACAACAGTAGACCTGACAGGCCATCTGACACAAGAAGAACACGCAGACAATAGCACATACCTGGGATTACACCGTATGGGTCGAATATGCCCCCCCCGCTCCATACATACCCCCACACAAATGACTGCTGCGAACGACCTAACGAGCGCAAACCGGCTACCCCCCCCCCCATACCCAGCTAACCCCTATTCACCAAATAAGTGGAACATATCACACAAAGGTTTACCAGGATCACTCAACAAGCTGTATAATATGTTAGCCGCACGACGGATCCGGGTTAAAGTTGGTAGTTCAAAATGTTATGATATGTACAACTGATTAAACCTACTGTGGCATGTGCCAACAACCCGCATTCAACAACTGTTTTCAATAACTTTTTATGATATATGCAAAATGTAGCTGCAGTTCCTTTGTGCATTATGTATGTAATGTTACCCCCCCCCCCTTTCCTTCTGTACCCCCAAGTATTTTCCTGTGAAAACAATAAAAACTAAACATGGAAAAAAAAAACTACCTGCCTAATTTTGTGTTGGTCCCTCTAGTGCTGCTAAAATAGCTCTGATGTGTCGAGGCATGGCCTCCACAAAACCTTTAAGCGTGTCCTGTGGTATCTGGCACCAAGACATTAGTGGGGTCTCCATGGATAGGATTTTTGGTTCCACCCAATCACACAGATGCTCAAACGGATTGAGATCTGGGGAATTAGGAGACCAAGGCAACACCTTAAACTCTTTGTCATATTCCTCAAACCATTCCTCAACAATTTTTGGAAAGTATCAGGCTGCATTATCCTGCGGAAAGAGACCACTGCCATGAAGGAGTGTATGTGGTCTGCAATTTCTAGGTAGGTGATATGTGTCAAAGTAACAACCACATGACTGCCAGGACCCGTGGTTTCCCAGCAGAACATTGCCCAGAACATAACACTGATTCCACTGGCCTGCCTTCTTCTCTTCTGCTGCTATCTCTTTCCCAGATAAATCTCCATGTTTTGTACAACTCTCATAATTCTATGCCAGCTGTGGATTTACCATTTGCCCATCGTTGCAGGCTTCTATTTGTTAGTATCATTTGTTTAAATTAAAAAGAAACTGTGCAGCCGGTATAAACAAAGAAGAGGTAACCCCTAGGTAAGAGGAGCAAAAAACAAGTTGCTAAAAACAAGTGCTGAGAATGGACAACAGATCAATTAGCCTGCCCTAAGGTGGGTCCCTGCTCAGTTCTCAAGCTGGTTTTAGCTCATCTTGTGCCAATATAGAGAGAACCAGGCCATGCATCTCAGACTGATTCCACCCAAAAGGGCAGAATGGATCAGAAATACAGGCCGGCAAGAGATACAGCAACCCCAGATGATCGTTTCAACCTTGTAAGGCATCATCAGTGTTGTATAGCCAATATCTCTCTTGGCACCGTAAGCAAGGGGTCCACGTCTGGATTACCCTTGAAACTTAAAGGACCACTATAGGCACCCAGACCACTTCAGCTTAATGAAGTGGTCTGGGTCCCAGGTCCAGCTAGGTTTAACCCTTTTTGCTGTAAACATAGCAGTTTCAGAGAAACTGTTATGTTTACAAATGGGTTAATCCAGCCTCTAGTGGCTGACTCATTGACAGCCGCTAGAGGCACTTCCGCGCTTCTCACTGTGATTTTCATACATACAGACACATACATACGCAAAATATTTTAGTCACCCTCCTATTACCTACCTTTGAGGTGCAGGAGGGTGACTTCCCTGGGGTCCAGTGGCTCAGGTTGATGAGAATCAGAGTTCCCACTCTGACTCCTTCTACTTCCTTCCGCGCGGCTCCAGGTGGTTGCTGGGAGCAGTCACTTCCTTCCAGCATCTGACATCATCAGAGGAGGCCCGGTCGCACTTTTACCAGGCCCCCTCTGATGATGATATTAATTTCCATCGGGTGGCTCTAACAGCATGGGCCACCCGATGGGCCCTTTCACCTGCCGCCCCGGCAATTATATTCCGTGACTGGGGCCGCAACACATGGCAGTGGGCACCCGGTCGCAGGGGTCTGCAGGGCGGCCGGGCCCCCTGGAATGACGGGCCCAGTTGCAGCTGGGACACCTGTGACCGCGGTATGTACACCGCTGCCTTTAAGTACTATAGTATAAAGTGTAAGATCCTGATATTCACAAGTGAATATAACAGAAAAAGAGAAAAAAATTGAGGGTCATCTTATAGACGGAATGTCACTCTAGGGGTTAAAAAAACACTTGTGCGCGCT